ATTTAGAACTTTGAATGACCTATGTCTTAATTTCAAATGGTATAATTTTTGGTGAGCTACAGACCAAGATCGTTCCACTTTCTCATTTGATGACAGAATTTTTTTAAAGTGTTTGAATAGTCATATTGCAGCACACACACACAAATTGTTATATGAAATGTCCAGCAATATATCCCTGATTTTCTATGTCTTGTTGTGATTGCTGGTTATCGTAAAGTTGCTCTGTGGACTCGTATAAGGTGTGAGGCTAGTGGAGATGATTGTGGACCCTTATAAGGTCTTAAATAAGGGCAGATCATTGTATCATATGGAACACTATGTTATGTATATGTTTGCACAAATAGGACAACTCGGGTACTCTGTTAACTCCATGGGACCTTCAAAGATACATGTACCATATATCAAGATATGAGACCACTGTGCAGAAGAGAGCTTTACCATTGGAGCACAATTTGGTTATAATGCTATGTTTTACTTGGAACTGGAACCTTTTCATAGTGCCATCCTGGTCGTGATATTAATGCCAATGTCTTTTTCTGAACAAGCACCCCCATTCCCTGTCTTTAGTGCCAAGCTTGAACAAACTGAGTTTGATTTGACTTGATTTCAGTCTGTTTTGGAACATTGTCCTTCATAAACGCTGAGACAGTGCATGGCTTGCTTTCTTCCAGTGTAGATTCCCGACATGGGTACAAGTGTGAAGCCTATTTCTGGTGTCCCCCGCCGTGATATTGCTGGAATATTGCTAAAAGCGGCATAAAACCATACTCACTCACTCACTCTTCCAGTGTAGTAGACTCCAGTAGTCCTGCACCAGTACTGTGGACTATATTTATTTTATTATCTAGATATGGTTGCAAAAGCAAGTCTAGCCAGTCAGGAAAATTATTTGTTTAATTTTTGAGGCGAGAAGATTATTGTGAAATATAAGATTTTATAGACTAAATATTTGTCTATAGACTCCAGCCACAGGTTTGAATGTCTCTGTGTATAACTTGAGATGTAATGAGTTGTGGCACCAGTGGATTGTTTGCTGCAGAAGTTCTCTAGGGACACAGGATAAACTAATTGATTCATATATCTCAGAAATTGTTTATACTGCCTACTTGTTTCTTTCCAATTTGGAAACATACTTGGACAGTTGGTCTTGGAGTGAAACTTGATCCTTCCTGAGAGCAGCTTTCCCTGGCAACACCCAAATAAACTGTCTTATAAGACTTTGTTGATATTGAATGTTTCCAAGTTTATGCTAATAAAATAGCAGTATCTATAAACATACACTGTAAATATTCTATATTTAGAGCCATACAAAATTGAAACATAAACATGTCTTATTGTTAAATATACATCAAGTTTTTAAAATGCAACTGTCAGCAGTATACATGGCTTGCACCCATTATAACATTAATAAATCATCCTTTTATAGTCAAGCTCTTTCAGCTCCAGCAAGCCGATTCAGGGTATGCCAGTACATGACAAATTAAGTAAGTCTGTTCTGGATGGCCATGAAAGTGCTCGCTTATAAAAGCAATAGTTTACTCCAAGTCCTCTCCAACCTGATCTAGCGCATCTATCTACAGGTATTGCCTTTATTTATTTTATTTTTTTCATTTTAAAGAAATGACATGAATTTTTTGCATGCTTGTCTTGGTGTTAGTGAATTCTATTCAGGTTCGATGACCATGCAGTTGCTTATACTTTTATGGGAGTCAAAAAGGTTTCACACTGACCTCAGAGTTTGAGGGGGCACAGTGGCTTGAGGTGCTGCAGAGTTGCATCCCTTGGTTGTACCCGAATCTGCTGAACTATTAATCAGCCATACCCTTGCCTACGGGTTTCACCAAATTAATAAAAATTGTCTGTCTCTCTTTCGGCACACATTCTGCTGCCTGACTATAAAAAATGCTGAAGTCTCGTTCACACTTATAACATTTATTGCGTTAGTAGAAGAATTACCATCTATTATGTATAGAATTGTGCTTTATTTCTTGTCTGAATAGAGACCACCTCCGTGGTCTAGTGGTAGAGTGTCCGCCTGGAGAGCGGAAGGTCCGGGGTTCGATCCCAAGCCGCATCATACCAAAAGACGTTAAAAAGATGGTACTTGTTGTTATCCTGTTTGGCGCTCTGCATTAAGGGGCTAAAACAAGGACTGCCCGGCTCAGAGTCAGTATACTTTGTCTGAGTGGGGTATTCATGTTAAACTGCTGCATGGTATCTCAGTGAGCCAGCACTATAAATCCACATCAGTCCGGACTAGTACAAGCACGCACGCACGCACGCACACACACACACGCACGCACATGTGCATGCATGTCGCTATATAAGTGCAATAATCTTGGACGCGACATTAAACCCAATTTCACCTCACCTTGTCTGAATAGAACTGATTGCAATAGTATTGGTTATTGGTTCCTGTTGTTTGTCTTTCTTTAATGTCCCACTCAGCAGTATTCCAGCTATGTCATGTTAGTCTGTAAATAGTTGAGTCTGGACCACTCAAACCAGTGATTGATATTATGAGTTATGTTCCTTGCCATTTGTGTTTGGTGAAAACATCCGGAAGTCAGCTGCAGGGGATCAAATGACCAGTTTAACAATGGCATCAAGGATTTGGTGAAATAGTGATATGTAGTTGAACGATAAATTATAGTGAAATACAATAATGCATCACGTATCACTAGGCTGTTTCTTGAAGAAGTTTACTTTATGTTTGAAAACTGGTAGATTTTCCACATTTTCGAGTTTATTCTTAATGTCCTCACTACACGTACTAGATGTCCCTCTAACCTTACATGGGTACCCGGTAGGGTTAGGACGATATACCGACTGTGCAATCTCATACATATCACGGTACCTTGCTCATGATCTGATACGTATCACAATACGTGCATGTGATCTTATCTGTGGCGTGAAAGCCATTTTTTTCATAGACAGAATGGCCAAATACCTGGCACACTGACAATTTCCAGTTAGCAGTGTCAAGTATGGTGCAGTGGATGAAAATATTTACGTGATATTGATTGTGATTGATACTTGTATCGAGAAGAAACAAATGTAATTCACCAATGCATTGGTGTGTCGTCCCACTACTAGTATCCAGCCATGAAATTGCTGGAATACTTCTAAAAGTGGTGTAATACCACACTCTGTACACCTGTGGGGCGGTGTGGTAGCCCAGTGGTTAAAGCGTTCGCTTGTCACGCCAAATACCCAGGTTCGATTCCCATCATGGGTACAATGTGTGAAGCCCATTTCTGGTGTCCCCTGCGTTATGTTGCTGGAATATTGCTTAAAGCGGCATAAAACCATACTCACTCACTGTACACCTGTGTAGAAATAGTGGTTTTACAAAATAAAACATTTCAGATTTGTGAAAATATTTAGTGTCAGTGAGTGAGCTCTACATGGAACTATTCACCAGGGTTGAGAGTGCGTGAGTGTGATGTCTTCAGCACCAGCCTATGTGATGATACAGGGAAACATGTCTGACTGTAAAGACATGTTGTCCACTAATTCAAATATGTTGCTAATAAATAAAAGGTATTTAATTCCTGTAAAACAGACTTGAGGTGATGGGACCAAGAAAAATTTCCTTTAACCACTCTCCACAGCAGGTTTGGAGAAATCTCCTTACTATTAGCTGCATTGATAATTAGTTGGAAGTAGACTGATACAGATAGTTGTTTTGGCTTGGTTTATGGATGATTAACATACACTGCAAATTAATCTCAGGTAGTGAGCTCTCCTCTGTTAATTGAGTATTGTTTTTGCCACACTGACAGAAGAGCTGGAAGTAATTTACTGAAATATTTGAAATGAAACCATAATCCCTGGCATGTGTTTGTCATTTGACGGTGCTGGCGTTGCAGGAAGTGTATGTTTACCCTAGACTGAAAGAAAGTGCCCTGGCTTTATTACAAACAGTTCACATTTCAACCTTATACTGGCACTTGCTGTTGCATCTTGAGCAATAAGTTCCAGAACAAGAGAGTAAGAATATACATCACATAAAATATGTTTACAATGATAATTCTCTCCTGGAGATCATCAAGAACCCTTTCTCCCTGGTAGTCTAACGATATCAAATTCAAAGAAACACATGTTGGTTCCATAATTTGTATTGAATAATTTTTCCAACACGTTGGAGAAAAAAAAGCAATATATTTATTTGAATAGGCGTTGCAGTTGACTGTTGGCAAATAGCCAGCCTCCCTCTTCACGCTGGCATATTTGATTGTTGATGCTTCCCATGTGGCAAACACATTGGGGCAGATCAAGTTACAGGAAAATGGTAGCTTGCTGAAATAAGCTATAGTCCAGAAAATCCACAACTAATCTTAGTGGACTATGCTCTATTTCTGTTTTTTTGTTCTGGACCTATTTCAACTCTCATGTTGGTAATAAAGGCCAAATATTCAAGTAAAACGTGTTTAATCCATGGTGTTATGAAGAACTGAAGAATGATGACTGATCAGACAGACATGCAGGGATGTAAGTATTATTAATGTCCATAAAAATATGTCTGGGGTTGTGAGACTCCAATGTATTTGATCACCCTGGCCTTGACAACACTGGCAGCTATCATGGTATATTCTACATATGGGGCCAATGCTGTTGAGTATCATTCTAAGCATGAAATGGATTGTTTTCTTTTTTGTATTTATTTAAAAGGAAGAGATTAATTGCTTCTGAAGTGATGTTACACATTGAAAAGTCATCAGTGCATGACTCAAAACAGGTTGCATTTGTACACGCTAAAGTTTTCCTGTGAGAAAAACAACTTGTAGTTCAACTTTTTCATCATAATATTCTTGTTAACAATAGCATGAGGATGTGCATGAGCATGGTGTTTAAATCCTCCAGTAGGCGGGACAAGAGGTATAGAAAGGCAACCTTCAGTCAGTCATCTAGCAGGTCCTATCAAATATGTTTATAGTTTGTTTGTTATTGCGACAATGAACAATATTCCAAATGTGCCACTGTGGCCTTTAAATGAGTCTGGGCCTTCTGAACCAGTGACTAAATGAATGAGCAGCTTCACATGCCGTCTAGATGATGACTGTCACACTCAGCCAAGTCACACAGCCTGACCATCCTGTGCTGTCTAGGTTCGATTACATACAACCGGCCATGTTGCAGAACCTGAGCACCCTGTGCAGCCTAGGTACGATTTCACACAACCCGCTAAGTTGCAGAGCCTGGGCCGGTCGCAGAGCCTGACCACCCTGTGCTGTCTAGGTTCGATTACACACAACCGGCCGGTCGCAGAGCCTGACCACCCTGTGCTGTCTAGGTTCGATTACACACAACCGGCCAAGTAGCAGAGCCTGGGCCGGTCGCAGAGCCTGACCACCCTGTGCTGTCTAGGTTCGATTACACACAACCGGCCAAGTCGCAGAGCCTGACCACCCTGTGCTGTCTAGGTTCGATTACACACAACCGGCCGGTCGCAGAGCCTGACCACCCTGTGCTGTCTAGGTTCGATTACACACAACCGGCCAAGTCGCAGAGCCTGGGCTGGTCGCAGAGCCTGACCTCCCTGTGCTGTCTAGGTACGATTACACACAACCGGCAAAGTCGCGGAGTCTGACCACCCTGTGCAGCCTAGGTACGATTACACACAACCGGCAAAGTCGCAGAGTCTGACCACCCTGTGCAGTCTAGGTACAATTACACACAACAGGCCAAGTCGCAGAGCCTGGGCCGGTCGCAGAGCCTGACCACCCTGTGCTGTCTAGGTACGATTACACACAACCGGCCGGTCGCAGAGCCTGACCACCCTGTGCTGTCTAGGTTCGATTACACACAACCGGCCAAATAGCAGAGACTGACCACCCTGTGCAGTCTAGGTACAATTACACACAACCGGCCAAGTAGCAGAGCCTTGGCCGGTCGCAGAGCCTAACCACCCTGTGCTGTCTAGGTACGATTACACACAACCGGCCAAGTCGCAGAGTCTGGGCCGGTCGCAGAGCCTAACCACCCTGTGCAGTCTAGGTACAATTACACACAACCGGCCAAGTAGCAGAGCCTTGGCCGGTCGCAGAGCCTAACCACCCTGTGCTGTCTAGGTACGATTACACACAACCGGCCAAGTCGCAGAGTCTGGGCCGGTCGCAGAGCCTAACCACCCTGTGCTGTCTAGGTACGATTACACACAACCGGCCAAGTAGCAGAGCCTTGGCCGGTCGCAGAGCCTGACCACCCTGTGCAGTCTAGGTACAATTACACACAACCGGCCAAGTCGCAGAGCCTGACCACCCTGTGCTGTCTAGGTACGATTACACACAACCGGCCAAGTCGCAGAGCCTGACCACCCTGTGCAGTCTAGGTACGATTACACACAACCGGCCAAGTCGCAGAGCCTGACCACCTGATCCAATTAAGTTGCCTCTTGCGACCAGCAATTGCGTAAGTTTGGGACTGGAGATTTATATGCAGTGACACCTGATGGAATGGTTCCATGAAAAATGATGGATGAGTTCATTTCCCGACCCAAAGCCATACACATTGGAATCATGCTTTGACATGTAGATTGGCAGCATTGGAATTCTGAAGGAAAGGTATGTCAGAACATGTTCCCATACTTACAGTTAAATGTAATTCACTGAAAACAACTTGATAGAAAATATTTGCTTTTGGTTTCACTTTGACCGATCCTACTGTTGTCGCCTGAGTGAGTTGTATTTTTATACGCTGCTTTTAGCAATACCACAGCGGGGAACACCAGAGATGGGTTTCACAGATTTTACCCATGTGGGGAATCGAACCCTTGTTCTGGCCTGAAGGTTCTTGCAATAGCAAGATCACAGTAGCCTGTAGGTATTCTAGTCCGAAACTACAGGATGATAATGTGAGATCTCCGCTGTTGATATAGGATAACATACAGCTCACAAGGTCACAGATACCTGTAGGTATTCCAGTCTGAAACTACAGGTTGATAATGTGAGATCTCCACTGTTGATATAGGATAACATACAACTCACAAATTCAAAGCAGAGAGTTGGTCTGCTTCGTTTGTTGCCTTTCAAGAATTATTCCTACGCAGCAGCTCTGGCTTATGGTGTCAATATTGTTCTAACTTTTGTCGACCCCACACAGGGCAGGGCAACTCACTCTGCCATCATACGCTGTGCCATAATATTATGTGTATTATGAAAGAAATATAAAAACACAGTACATAAAAATTATAGCTTTGTTATGACATGGACCTTTTTTCATATTGCAGAGTTCTATCCCTTAGGAGTGCCAGGATTTGATGATTGTGAGTTGGAATTCCAGCTTCACCCTGATTAGGCTGATCCTTGGTTTGTCAGTATGAAGACCTTACGTCACTTTTGAGTTACCAAAATTAAGCTGATATCTGAGATAATGTTAAACACAACTTACTCTATTGTTTTTCTTCTAAATGTTGTATCATTTTGTATTGATAAAGAAGATTACTGAAAAGTTAGTTGATGAATAGTCTTACCTTGTCTGTTAATGACTTGCAAGGAGAAATGGAGCGTTTGGGGTAAATAATACATGTCCTATATTATCTGAATTGATTTTTAGGAAGAGGACAAACGTTACAATTTCAATGAAATTTGCTCTTTGTAAGCATCATCAAATTTTTGGTTTGCTTGTAATTAATTCAAGGTGAATAATGTCGAACCATGCCAGACTAACATGGACACTGATAATGAAAAGGATCTTGGGAATGTGGCAACAGTGTTGTTGTGCTACATATTGATAGCATTATATCACTAACTCTCACCACTGCATGCCCTATGGCTCAAGTTGCATGCTTTTGCTCTAAAATTAATTAGATTTTATGTTGAATTTCCATGTTCTTTTCAATAGTATTTCTATTGATCAATATTCCATTACATTAATACTAGATTTTATCAGCCTAGATCTAGATTTTTTGTTGACTTGGCAAATTTATGGCCATGAGCAATAAAATGGATGAAATGCCTGGAATTCAAATTGATGGGAATACTGGTGTGCTGTGTTGTAAAAAACGTATTAGAATGAACTCATGTGATATGATTGTCAGTGGTCGAAAACACTGCATGTTTACAATCTGTGTTAGGCAGTTGATATTCTGCATGTATGAGCTGGAAGAGAATTGCAGTGTTTACTTTGGGAAAGAAGAAAACTGATCATGCAGAGAGTGGTGACTTACACAGTAAATCCACAATGAATGATTTTCAAAGAGTTTTTTATGAAATCTAATATTACACAATACCATTCTCGACTCTGAAAATAATAAAAAAATCATTTTCCCTATGCTGATTTCATGTGGAATAGAGCTAGCTAGAGCTGGCTAGACTTGCTTTTGTATACTATTCTAGATCGGTTTTTTGTTTCATAAAATAAATATATTCCACAGTCATGGTGCAGGACTAGGCTAAAATAGACAGCAACATTTCCAATCCCAGCATTCTTAAGCTCTTAAATAATGTTAGTTACGTTCAAATTCACATTCTATGGAGATGAATGAAACAAAAACATTTTGCATTAATGATTTTCAGCTAATCATTGGCTGGTGATAAATCTTCAGTGAATCAGTTAAAAGGGGAAGCAGTTCTTTTCGGGTGATCCCATTGGGGCTACTAGTAGAAGAATGTTCCTTGTATCCCTGCATGTCATGAGAGCAGGCACATCAGTTGGTTACTATGCGTGACATTGCTGATTCTGTGTCATTACATCAAAATTGTATTAGTGTTCTCAGCCATACACTTATCGACTGATGTTAGAGACTTCATACTTGGGTGTCATTGAAGGTCAAGGTCACACCTTATTCACTTGACTTGAAAGGTTTGTGTACACGATAACTTGAATATTTATCATTGGAATGTGATGAAACTTGGTCTTGAGGTGATCTCTATGTAAGGTCAAGGTCACAAGAGGTCAAATCATGAGACATGGCTTAAATGTTATTAAATTTAGTATTACCTCATGAAAAATAACAGCATGTGATTGGATGACATTGAAGGTGAACGCCACCAAAAATGGCTGTGTAATAGTTTAAGCTTTGAATACATGATCACTAGGGTTGGCTGTTAATTTTTAAGATTCTTGATAACCTCCAATTAGGGTAAAAGTTACCAGAAACTTATTGTCAAAACATGAAATATATTATTTCAGAATATTTATCAGTGATTAACAGTACACAGCCACTTGTTTGTATATTTGTACATACATGTATGTCCCATGTTAAGGTCGTTAAGTTCACTCTTGCGACAGTATTCTTCACTGTATTTACAGTTTGCTGCAGTATCTTTACATTTGTAACACTACATATGCTTTCAATTAAGACATTGGGGGGCACGGGTGGCCCAGTCGTCTAAGGTGCCGCGATTCGCTGTGCAGAGTTGCGTCCCTTGGACACGCCAGAAACCTATGATTGTGGGTTTGAATCCCGGTTCGCCCCGATTATGTTTCTAGGTTTGTCAGCACCATACCCGTGCTCGTGGATTTCACCAAAGTGGTAAAGGTCTGAGACGTGCATCACTCACTCTCTCACTCAATTAAGACATTGTCTGGAAGGTCAAGGTCATTGGACTAGAAGTGCACATTACTTCAGTTCTAGGATAACTAGAGATATAACACTTTCTTTTTCAAATTTATACTGCAATGCACATATATATTTCTTATCCACAAGGTATCCCTTTTGACAAGATGTGCTTATTCCTTGTTTTCAGGGTAGCTGGAGGCATCGAAAATGTTATTCGTCATAAGGCAACATTAGGGATCAATGATGAATGTAGATACAGTCAAGTCCCGTAAATCCGACATCGATGGTTGCACATGATTATGTCGGATTAACAAGTATGTCGGATAAACGAAATTAAGTAGTATCAACGTTCATGATCGAAAATAGGACAACTACACGACAGATAAGGATTCAAACACGTAATAAAAATCTAAAATAAATATTCATATTGTTATGTTAAATTGTTGGCGGAATATGTTTTCTAATCATACAACCTCTAAAGTTTAACACAAAACAACTGTTACGGACTGTATGACTTATTCAAAATACTTTGAAAAGCACAGTCTGGAATGGAAGTCGCAACTTTGAAACTGGTACCTGAAGCTTTAGAAAGCTGCTTTCTAAGTGGCTAACGTTGACTGCCTGTTGGTCATTTCATTGGTAGGTCATAGTTCTTGAAAGGTTGTTCTGACGTGACCTATAATGGGATGTCCTCGTCAATAGCGAGAACTTGAATCTGATTTTAATAAGATTGAGGTAATCTAAACATGTGATTTATCCTGTTTTCTTTATTTAAAGCATTAATTGTTTATTGTTAGGCAAGTTTATCTCTGCAGCCGTTGTAATATGCAGCTACCAGCCGATTCGTCTCGCATCAAAACACGGGCTGTGTACTCGTGGGCAGATGGCCACGGAGGACACTGATCACATTTAATGAGACTGATTAATGAGTGATTTCAGTAATTCGTTGCAAATTAGGTGTTACAGAGTCGGAATGCTAAGCCTGTAGGATTAACAGGTCTAAATAGCACTGATTTAATATGTTCCCATCATCAGTGTCGGATAAAGCCGATTGCCGGATTAAAGATTGTCAGATTAAAGAGATTTGACTGTAGATATTTGGGATGTCAGTTGTCACCTGATTTGGTAAAGTCAAAATGGTTCATGGTACGTGTTGCGGATGGGAAAATGTTGATGGCATTCAGGAAAAGGTTTAGATGGGGCTGCTTCTATTGTTGCATTTAATTGAAACAGGTATTAAGTTACTATCTTGCTATCAACCACCTGTTGTCCTGGCCTGGACTTGTGTTAAAGTGGCTGTGATGTTGTAGGATATTCATTACTCTAAAACAGCATGCTTGCTTGCTTGCTTGCTCACTCTCTCACTCACTCACTCACTCACTCACTCACTCTCTCTCTCTCTCTCTCTCTCTCTCTCTCACTCACTCACTCACTCTCTCTCTCTCTCCATGTCATGTTACATAACTCTGCATAGATAATGAATGACAGCATAATTCAGTATTTACATATAAACATATAACATATAAATGTTGTACAATGAAACAAGTGTAACACAGTTGACCATTGGAAGCTAAATGACTTAACATGCTTTCGTTGAAATGCAAAGTGTACAATACTGACATTTTTAGGTTTGAAATTCAAAATTCTTTGTTACCTGAATAAATTATTGAACTTTCTTAAATATTGTACAATTTGACTCTTGTGATAATCTTGTTTCAATTACGATTTCATGAGTAAGACATGTAATTTGAGATGTGACATCAGCCCGGAAATGCAAAGAACTTTCATATGAATTGGGCCAAGCCATGGTCCCATTCAGGATGGGGCTGCATCAAGTTTGAATGTTTACATTTAGATTTAGACTGGAGAGACTTCAGTGAAGAAAAAAATAATTCAAAAAGCATATTTGGAGCAAGATTTGAAACTTTGTGTCCTACATTTTTAAATTCACTTTTACCGATTGATTCCCTTCACACATTTACAGCAAGTTCAACGAGATCTGGAACCGCATTTCCAAGATAACAGGACCTGAAGTTATTCTTCCATCCACTGTGTTAGCCTGTAGCATGTAGACCTAATCTGTTTACTTGTCAAACACACTGGGTTTTTTTATCCAAGGGAAAATATTTACTTCCTGTTTTAATGGTTGCAAGTTATATAACTTAAATGTTATGAGTGGCAATAAAAGCTAAAACAATAATCTATGTCACACATCTAGTCATAGAGACAACCGTTGTGTTAATAATACTCTATGTTAAGAACAAACCTCTCAACTCAAGTCCTGCTTGATCTTGGATACTCAATCATGCATGTACACGCAGACTGTGGCTATTGCACATATTAGTTGAAGAAGATACATGCGTTCATATTCATTTGAATTTCTCACAGGATCTTCTCACCCGTGAAAGCATATTTATAATTACACCATTTAGTTTTTCTTGGTCATGAATTCACAAAACAGAAAAGGTTCTGATCCATTCATTTTGTTGGATAAAAGGGAACAAATTCACCCCGAAAACCACTTAGCTAATAAAGCTGAAAATGTGATGCTGCAAGAAAAGTTTATGTTTTCTAACTTTGTGTCAACGATAATTGCCCTATATAGATTCAAGTTTGTGAAAGACAAAAAAAGTTATGCTTTTTATTTGTTTAGATTTGGCCTTAAATAACTCTTTTGTTCCCATGTTCTGACCAAAACTGCTGAAGCTAAGGTAACTTTCATTGGTCAAAACAAAAATCAAAAATATTTCAAGAAGGCTCAA